AAAATAAAAAGTGTACAGGTGATCAAATACAACCAAAAGAAAGCTTGATTTGTGTGAAAAAAGGACATAAATTTAATTTATGTACAGTATTGCATGAACATGCAATTGTCAGTTAAACTAATGCAGTGCTGTATAGCAAAAAATGGCATAAATTGCAGTATCTATACCATAGTTTGTAGACGCTATAACTTTCACACAAAGCAATCAATATACACTTATTGGGATTTTTTTTTAATAAAGACATGTAGCAGAACACATTTTGGCTTAAATTTATGAATAACTTTGAGTTTACTATATATTTTTTATAGCCAAAAGTAAAAAAAATCTTTTTTTTTTTCAAAATTTTTGGTCTTTTTTGTTTATAGCACAAAAAATAAAAAGCAAACAGGTGACCAAATACAACCAAAAGAAAGCTCTATTTGTGTGAAAAAAGGACGTAAATTTAGTTTTGGTACAGCTTTACATGACCGTGCAATTACTAGTTGAAATAGTGCAGCACTGAATAGCAAAAAAAGTCCTGGTCAGGCAGGGGGGTAAATCCTCAGGAGGACAAGTGGTTAATGCCATCCCAGTCTTAGTCCGTAGGGTTCAATATGGAGTTGGCCCACCCTTTGCAGTTATAACAGCTTCAACTCTTCTGGGAAGTCTGTCCACAAGGTTTAGGAGTGTGTCTATGGAAATGTTTGATCATTCTTCCAGAAGTGCATTTGTGAGGTCAGGCGCTGATGTCAGATGAGGAGGCCTGGCTCACAGTCTCCGCTCTAATTCATTCCAAAGGTATTCCATCAGGTTGAGGTCAGGACTCTGTGCGGGCCAGTCAAGTTCCTCCACTCCGAACTCACACATCCATGACCTTGCTTTGTGCACTGGTGTGCAGTCATACTGAAACAGGAAGGGGCCATCCCCAAACTGTTCCCACAAAGTTGGGAGCATGAAATTGTCCAAAATGTCTTGGTATGCTGACCAATCAGCGCTGTCCAGACAGAGGTTAGGGATTCTGCTTCCTCCTAGAGCAAAATTAAATCTCCTCCTATAAGCTTTAACCAGTGCTTGGATGGACACTGATAGAAGTTACAAGACTGCTCTAACTGCTGATGAGAAAAGGTATTTAGCATTTTATATTTACTAAAATAATTGCATTTCTATGTTCTGTGTACTGTGGGAGACCAGATACAGTAAATGCAGGATCCTGGGGTTAGTAACACTTTTACACTGACAGGAGTGATTAAAATGATCAGCTTTAATGTATTCATGCAAAACCTTTATCCAGTGGTGTATTTAGGTTTTGTGCTGCCCTAGGCAACAGAAAAATTGTCTGCCCCCACAGACACCGACCAACACCCCCTCCCCCTTCTCCCTCCCACAGAGAGAGCTAGACATTGACCAACAACACCCCTGCCCCCCCATATATAGACAGAAAGGAAGACACTTATCTTCAGATATCCGGACATCCCTGAGAACGAGAGTCCGGCTCTGCTTACACCACCAAGCAGCCTGCAGCCTCTCTCAGATCCCACCTGGTTCCCATCTTGCATGTCCCTTCTTCCACCTCTTCTTCTGAGGAGAGGTGCTGCCCCCTGAAAAATGCCGCCCTAGGCAAGTTCCTTGTTTGCCTTGTGGTAAATACACCCCTGCCTTTATCCCAAAAGGAAAGAAAACATTTTGCTGTAACTGATTATAAAGTGTGAGCTGGAGTTTGGCATCCATTTGTTTGTGTATCTCATTCCTCCTTTGTTGTGTCTCACTAATACCGGGGGGGGGTGTTATTGGCCAGATCACCAGGTGAAAACAGAGTGAAAAAAGCCAAAGAAAAGAAAACTGTTGCAGCCACCAATCCTAATGATTGGTACATTGCAATATATTACATTTTTGGTTTTGGGTTTACATTGTGTGCACAATTATTATGTAAGTATTTTGACTAAATCATAATTTTTTTGTATATTGTTCAAATCCAAGCTGTATAAGCTTGAATGCTTATTGGATTTAAAGGATAAGTTCACCTTTGGGAAAACGTTACATGTTCCACATATTTTTAGGGTGGAACATGTAATATGTTTCCGATCCTGCAGCTGCTGCCCGTTGCCCCCTCCATGTGACAGAAGTATGGGGAGAAGCTCCCCGTACTAGCTGTCACTTTTCAAAAACAGCGCAGTCATGCAGGGCTCCGCCCACACACGGCCGCGTTATTCATTTACAGTCCTTTGAATGAATGGACTACAAGTCCCGACAGCCTTGTAGTCCTCAATGAGCTATCACAAAGCTGTGAGCACCATGGTAGTTCACTGAGTCTTCCTGTCAGAAGTATCGGCTTGACCATACGGGATGTACAAGCAAGCAGATACACTCACAGTGTGCAGGAGACCTGCATGGCATCAGCGATCTGCTGATCATTGGTGCAATCCTTTACAGGATCCCAGCACAAAAAATATTAAATGCACATTTTTTTACCTGCAAAAAAAATTTGCATTTATTATTTTGTGTGGAAAGGTGAACTTATCCTTTAAGCATATCAGGTGATGTGTATTTGTGTAATTAGGGAGGGTGTGGTCTAAGAGGATCAACACCCTATATCAAGGTGTGCACAATTATTAGGCAGCTTCTTTTCCTCAGGCAAAATGGGCCAAAAAAGAGATTTAACTGACCCTGAAAACTTGAAAAGTCTTTCAAAGCGATGCAGCACTCTTGAAATTGCTAAGATATTGGGGCATGATCACAGAACCAAGGAAGGGAGGCTGAAACCTGACCACCACTGAACAAGACACATACTGAAAGTTGAAACGTCAAGACTGGGCCAAGAAATATCTAAAAACATATTTTTCAAAGGTTTTATGAACTGATGAGATGAGAGTGACTCTTGAGGGACCAGATGGATGGGCCCATGGCTGGATCAGTAATGGGCACAGAGCTCCACTTTGACTCAGATGCCAAAGTGGAAGTGGGGTTTGGTATGGGCTGGTATTATTAAAGATGAGCTAGTTGGACTTTTTCATGTTGAAGATGGACTCAAAATTAACTCCCAAATCTACTGCCAGCTTTTAGAAGATACTTTCTTCAAGCAGTGGAACAGGAAAAAGTCTGTATCTTTCAAGAAGACCATATTATTAATGCAGGACAATGCTCCATCGCATGTATTGAAGTAATCCACTGCGTGGCTAGCCAGTAAAGGCCTTAAAGATGAAAAAATGATGGCATGGCCCCCTTCCTCACCTGACCTAAACCCTATTGAGAACTTGTGGGCCCTCCTTAAGTGGAAGATTTACGGTAATGGAAAACACCTCTCTGAATAGGGTCTGGGGGCTGTGGTTGCTGCTGCACAAAAAGTTGATCATCAACAGATCAAAAAACTGACAGACTCCATGAATAGAAAGGCTTATGACTGTTATTGAAAAGAAGGGTGGCTATATTGGTCACTGATTGGTCACTGATTTCCTGATGTCAGAAATGTTTATTTGTAAATTTTGAGTTGTTTGTTTATTTTTCTCACTTTAACAGATATACAGTTGCAAGAAAAAGTATGTGAACCCCTTGGGATTATGTGGAGTTTTGCATGAATTGGGCATAAAATGGGCTCTGAACGTCACAACAATAGAAGAACACAGTCTGCTGAGCATAATACTACGCAAACATTAGATGTTGCCATGGGTTAATTGCACATAACATGTAAACATTCACAGTGCAGGGAGGAAAAAGTATGTGAACCTTTGGACTTAATAACTGGTTGACCCTCCTTTGGCAGCAATAACATCAACCAAACATTTCCTGTAGTTGCAGATCAGACCTGCACAACGATCTGGAGTAATTTTGGACCACTCCTCTTCACAAAACTGTTTCAGTGTAGCAATATTCTTGGGATGTCTGGTGTGAATCGCTCTCTTAAGGTCATGCCACAGCATTTCAATCGGGTTGAGGTCAGGACTCTGACTGGGCCACTCCAGAAGGCGTATTCTGTGCTGTTGTAGCCATTGTTTGTTGAATTACTTGTATGCTTTGGGTCATTGTCCTGTTGCATCACCCATCCTCTGCGGAGATTCAGTAGGCGGACAGATGGTCGTACGTTTTCCTGCAAAATGTCTTGAAAAACTCTGGAATTCATTTTCCCATCAATGACAACAATCCGTCCAGGCCCTGAGGCAGCAAAGCAGGCCCAAACCATGATGCTCCCTCTGCCATGTTTTACAGTGGGGATGAGGTTTTGATGTTGGTGTGCTGTGCCTTTTTTTTCTCCACACATAGTGTTGTGTGTTCTTCCCAAACAACTCAATCTTGTTTTCATCTGTCCACAGTATATTTTGCCAGTAGTGCTGTGGAACATCCAGGTGCTCTTTTGCAAACTTCAAATGTGCTGCAATATTCTTTTTGGACAGCAATGGCTTCCTCCGTGGTGTCCTCCCATGTACTCCATTCTTGTTTAATGTTTTCCTTATTGTAGATGTGTCAACAAAAATGTTAGCATGTGCCAGAGATTTCTGTAGGTCTTTAGCTGACACTCTTGGATTCTTCTTTACCTCATGCAGCATTCTGCGCTGTGCTCTTGGAGTCATTTTTACAGGAAATGTAGGGAACAATGCTCTTGATCGTAGAAAGTCTGTCTTACCGTGGACACATGAACATGAGATACTTTTGTAACCCTTTCCAGCTTCATGCAAGTCAACAATTCTTGATGTAGGTCTTCTGAGAGCTCTTTTCACATGGTTCACATCAGACAGTGCTTCTTGAAACCAGTAAACCAAAAACAGGTGTGTGTTTTTTAACCACTTGCCTACCAGGCACTTATACCCCCTTATTTACCAGGCCAATTTTCAGCTTTCAGCGCTGCCGCACTTTGATTGACAATTGCGCTGTCATGCAACATTGTACCCATATGAAATTTTGATCATTTTTTTCTCACAAATAGAGCTTTCTTTTGGAATTTAATTGCCACTGGGTGCTTTACTTTTTGCTCTATAAATAAAAAAGTGCAAAAAATTTGAAAAGTTTTTTTGTTTCTATTATAAAATTTTTCAAACAGGTAATTTTTCTCCTTCACTGATGTGCGTTGATGAGGCAGCACTGATGGGCACTGATAGGCGGCACTGATGGGCACTGATAGGCAGCACTAAAGGGCACTGATAGGCAGTACTAATGAGGTGGCACGGATAGGCGGCACTGATAGACAGCACTAATGAGGTGTCACGGATAGGCGGCACTAATATGCAGCACTGATAGGCGGCACTGATAGGTGACACTGATGATGGGTACTGATTGACGGCACTGACTGGCATCACTGCTGGGCACTGACTGGCGGCACTGACTGGCACAATCGCTGGGCACTGACTGGTGGCACTGACTGGCAGCACTGCTGGGCTGCACTGGTGGGCAGCACTGGTGGGTGGGCACAGGTGGGTGACACTGGTGGGCACAGGTGGGTGGGCACAGGTGGGTGGCACTTCTGGGCACAGGTAGGTGGCACTTCTGGGCACAGGTGTGTGACACTGCAGAGTGGCACAGGTGGGTGCACTGCTGGGCACAGGTGGGTGCACTGCTGGGCACAGGTGGGTGATCTGCTGGGCACAGGTGGGCGGAGCTAGTGGGCGCACTGCTGGGCACAGGTGGGCGGAACTTGCGGGTGGCACTGCTGGGCACCGATCATCAGGGCACTGATCATCAGTGCCCTGATGATCAGTGCCGATCCCCGCTCTGACAACTGCCGGTTCTCGGCAGTACTTTCCTCACGATCTGACAGCGTGAGGAAAGTGCAGCCGAGAACCGGCACTTGCATTTCCCTCTGATCAGCGTGTCATTGGACACTGCTGATCACGTGGTAAAAGGCCGCTGTGATTGGCCTTTTACCACATCACGTGATCAGCTGTGTCCGTAGGACACAGTGATCACGGAGATCGCCGGGTGCGCGCCCCCCTGGGGCGCGCAGGAGAGCGCGTTCTGGGAGGACGTCATATGACGTCCACTCAGAACTGGCCGGCCGCAGTGCAGCCGTCATTCGGCTATCTGCGGTCGGCAGCTAGTTAAGGGCAGGACAGCTGTCAGCAACACATCCAATATCATCACACCGATTGGAGTCAAGGTTGGCTCACTCCTGGCTCCAATTAGCTCTGGGGGAAGTCATTAAGCTAGGGCCTCACATATTTTTTCCTCCATGCACTGTGAATGTTTACATGTTATGTGCAATTAAACCATGGCAACATCTAATGTTTGTGTAGTATTATGTTCAGCAGACTGTGTTCTTCTATTGTTGTGACTTAGATGACGTTCAGAGCACATTTTATGCCCAATTCATGCAAAACTCCACGTAATCCCAAGGGGTTCACATACTTTTTCTTGCAACTGTAAATAAACAAGCGAGATGGGAAAATTTTTGTTTTTTGTTTAGTTGCATAATAATTCTGCAGACGAATAGTTGCCCAATAATTGTGTACACATAGATTATTCTCCTAAGAAAGCCAAAACCTCACTTTTACTTTTTTAAATAGTCAGGTTTGAGGTTTATTAACATTTTGAATTGACCGAGAGCACTGTATCTGCTCAATAATGACATTAAAAAAATAATTGTGCACACAGTATAATACTGCTTTAACATACAGATTGCAGGATGTCATAGTAATTCAGCATAACCAGAAACTGTCCATGCATGGATGTCGGTGCTCACATAATCACGTCAGCGCTGTTTGATGCATCGCTGTTTGATGCATCGCTGTTTGATGCAGTAATACTCAGAGCCCAGGCCACCATGGTGACACCTATCCATTACAGCCAGGGTTCAGGAGAAGAGGGATAAATGATAGTGGAGGTCATTCAACCTGGAAGACTGGCAACATTTAGTGGCGGAGAGAAGTTTTTGGACATTCTGGATTATAAATAAATATTGTATCAAAGGCTGTTCTTTTATTTTATATATCCATTTCAAAAAACATTTACGTTATAATTTAATGATGGAGTTCTGCTTTAATAAGCAGTTCCTATCCAGCATTAGCAGCATTTAGGCTATTACTTGTCTCCCTGGCACTCAGCTTTAAAAAAAAAATGTTGTATTCAGCAAATGTATGACATTACTTACATGTACAGGAGTTACCCTTCAGTATATCCTCAAGCTGCATGGAACTGTCCATATTTATGTATCCTAGAGTAACTTTTTCCTAAATTTAATTTAATTTCTGCATCTCACTTCTGCTTTTAAGTAAATATTTCTCAAAAATGTAGTTATTTTTATTACTGTGAAGTCCACGTGCCTCTGACACACACAGCCGCTGCCTTTTCTTGCGCAGTTATTTCCGGTACATTGTGTGCCCACTTCCCACAGCTACATGCACATTCCACAGTCATTCTAATATTATAATCTCACTTCTTCTATCAGAAGACTGGGGTTTGATGAGAAATTTGTGATCATTTTTTTGCAGTAACAATACTGAACTATTAAAATAGTTCAGTATCAATGCTGAGCTATTTTAATAAATATTTTATTATTAAAATAGCTGCAGACCATAAATGTGCAAATGCATTTTTAGTGCAATTCAGATTTTAAATGTTCATTTGTTTTCAAGAACGGCTGAATATCATAGATGTGCCTGAGTGGGTGTCCTCCGAGTACTCTGGTTTCCTCCTACACTCCATTGAGGTATTTTAGAGAATATATTAAGACATGCATAGCCTGATGGAAGAGACGATAAGTGCATTTATACAAATGATCAATAAGATAATAATGTTGCTCTTAGAGATATGTCTAAACACCTGCAGTATTTTGACTAAAGCTGGGAGTACACTAGCAGTTTTTTTCCTTCAACTCAGCAGGCTGAACGTTAAAAAAAATTGACAGATCACCATACTAACACAAGCTATTTTGGGTGCAGCGATCTCCACTGCTGGTCTATTGAATTCTGAGAGCATGAGGCTCTTCTGTCCCCCATCGGCTGCAAGTGCTGATCAGGTGCTGGTTTTCTATCATGTCATTTAGAAAAAGCTGGTCGTTAGACTGGCTTATGTCTAAGAGACAGCTGTATATGCTGATCAAAAGTCAGCCAGTTTGTATCCAGCTTAACACCAATTAACAGAACTGAACTGCATTTACCTAACAAGAGTATATAATGACAGTTCTGATTTGCTATAACTGTTCCTGTTTAGTCACACTGGCCAGTGAATGGTGAAATGAAAAACATTGGCTGGCAAAGTTTGGGCCCTTGAAGATTGCACAACATTTCCCAGCATACAACAGATTAACTTGCATGATGTTCATTTCTTACCAGACCAAGGGCACCTATTCTGGGTCTACGGACACATGCTCTGATTCAGTAAAAGTCAAGTTCAAGTCAGACATGGACTGAACTTACTGTGAGCTTTCTCTTTCAATCCTTCTGAGACAGTCCCTCTTTTCCTTTCTTACAAGTGGTGGGAGAGCTCTCCAGTACAGCCTTTGTAATCCAAAAGATTGTTCCCAAATAAGGCAAACCCCACTGAGGCAGAACTATTTCTCAGAAACAGGAAAATAGAAAAGATAGTGGTCAAGAGGCTTTTCCCCACAGTAGGCAATCTCTGCATATGTTTGCGAAAGGGTCCTACCTCACAAGTTAGCACCCAGCAGTAATAGCCAGTGTTCCTCTCCTGATGGTCAAGGGTCTGCTAATGGTCACAGTCAGGGGCGGACTGACAACTCATGGGGCCCCCGGGCAATAGGGGATCATGGGGCCCCTTTGTCCTTGCCCAAACTCAAAAAAGCCTATGAAAAAGGTACCAGGGGCATCTCATGGGGCCCCCTACTGACCCTGGGCCCTCGGGCAGTGCCCGAGTTTCAAAATGGTCAGTCCGCCCTGGTCACAGTCATTTGCAATATTCAACAAGTTGATGATGACTGATGCTCACAGGGTCGAGGTCTCTTCGAATGTAGAATTGTACAGTAGAATATATTGGCAGCAGCAGTCTCTGATCAGCACTGTTCTCCTGGGCAGCACACCATCAAATAGCTTCAGTAAAACTCTGGCCACAAACCACTGTCCCCCATCCCTGCAACCTTGTGGTGCTGTCTCTCAGCTCCCCCTCTGTTCAGCTCCTCCCCTTCTTTTTTCCTGTCCCCATGTCACTGCCTTTGTTAATCCAAGTCCAGCCAAGAGGGCTGCCCCTGCACTGGAGACACTCCATAGATGAGCATTATAAAGTGGTGTCTCTAAAGATGGCTGCTGCAGTTCTACATGAATGAGTTTTCAGTTTAATCCTGTCCACACTGCAGAAGGTTAGCACAGCAGCAACAAAAGAAGCTGTTCCACAGCAGTTATCAGATACAGTCCAGATTACATAGGCATTTGAGGGCTTGAGAGATCTTTTGAGAGCTGACATAAGTACACTGGCAACAGTGAAAGCTAACACCAGAGGTATGACTTGTATGTAGCATATACTGTACATGCACTAGTAGGCAGAATTTAGGATAAAACAGTGCAGGAAGCCAAATTTTAAGTTTAAAATGAAAAGATTTATTAACATTTATTGAATATTTTTAACTTGAGCTTTCTTTTCCAAAAATTTTAATTTAGTTCCACTTTAAATTGGTTTTAAAGCCTCAAGGTTTCTTACCTTCATGTATTCTATGCATGAATGTAAAAAATCTTCCCTCTGCAGTGCCCCCCTCCCAGCTCCCCCCCCCCCCCAAATCAGTACCTGAGCCCCTTCTGATCGAGAAACGTTCTCGACAGCTTCTGCTGTCTGGGGACTCTTTCGTCTCATTGGCTGAGACAGCAGTGGGAGCCCATTGGCTACTGCTGCTGTCAATCACAGCCATTGAGGCAATGAGGAGAGAGCAGGGTGGGTGGCAGGGCCAAGCCACAGCTCTATGTGTCTTATGGATGCACAGAGCTGCGGCTTGGGGACAAGCAGTCAACTGTGCTCCCAGAGTGAACATCTTTCCCTGGGGGCACTGCTCAAGGGGGAGGAGCCAGGAGCACTGGCGGGGACCCGAAAAGAAGAGGATTGGGGCTGCTCTGTGCAAAACCACTGCACAGAGCAGGGTAAGTATAGATGTGTTTGTTATTTTTAAAAAAAATAAAAGGAAGTATCACTTTAAGTAATGGTCTAATCAAAAATCTCCACTGTTATGTATGTCATGGGGAACGTGTATTTTTATAGCTACAAGGTTTGCGTTCTCTCCAGAAAAAAATGTTTATGGTAATGAAATTCCACACCATTAAAAGATGCCTTCCTATTGTCTCCAAGGAAACTGACAAGGATGATACTGTATATTAGAGATGCTATGAGATAGTAAAGTGGTAGTTTTGTCCTATATTTACATTTCACTGAATTTTGTTGATTTGCACA